TGGATAAAAATAATTGTGTAAAATAAACATACTTATACTTTAGAAGACAAAGCATTTTTCACAAATAAATAAATATTTAATAAAAATCGAATTAAAAAGGAAGTAAACACTGTAACCAACAGGGCACTCAGTATTCTGGGAAGTTTGTGTGCATTGGGAATCTTTTTTTTTTTTTTTTTAAATAAAGCCAAGGTAACACTAATTTTACATACACCACGCAATGAAAATGACATGAATATGATAGTGGGCAAATGCATAAAGCGCAGCATAATTTGAAATCACTAGTTTAAAGTTAGTCGATCGCGCGTCTCCAGTCAAACAGAACTCTCCTCCTGTCCGTATTCAATTAGCACGGATCGACCGTCATGCAGAGAACACGCGATCATGCAGGATACAAATGCACACTTCACAAAATCTCAACTAGATTCGACTAAGTTTGCAAGGTTTGTGAAATTAAATGTTAATTAGTCATTGAAAGATTTGTTTAAATGATATAAATGCATATTTGCTGAATGCTGACGGCAAATGAGAAAGTATTATAATGTTTGCCTTTCTATTACTAATAATATTAAAGCAATCGTTATAATACTTTTTTGTATACATTTTAATTCCTTTGTTTAACAGTTCTATCTGATTATTAGACAGACTTCTATCCATATTAGACAGAACTGAACGACGACAGCAAACAAGAGGGAGAATGTGAGTGGTGTGCGCTCAGGCAAAAGTCCTCCGCGCCGTCAAAATAAAAGTCCCGCCTCGAACACATCGGCCAAACAGAAAAACTTATCGGCCGATGCCGATATTTGAAAAATGAATGTTTGCCTTTCTATTACTAATAATATTAAAGCAATCGTTATAATACTTTTTGAATACATTTTAATTCCTTTGTTTAACAGTTCTATCTGATTATTAGACAGACTTCTATCCATATTAGACAGAACTGAACGACGACAGCAAACAAGAGGGAGAATGTGAGTGGTGTGCGCTCAGGCAAAAGTCCTCCGCGCCGTCAAAATAAAAGTCCCGCCTCGAACACATCGGCCAAACAGAAAAACTTATCGGCCGATGCCGATATTTGAAAAATGCTAAATATCGGCCGATATATCGGCCTTGGCAATATATCCTGTCAACCACTAGTTTATGCTAATGTTCGCTTTAGCACCACTTGCAATGCGTCTGTCAGGTCAACTGCAAAGTAACTTTGTAACTATTTCTAGATTTCTAAGAATGATTTCTAGCCCTATTTCTTAAAATCACCTATTTTCGTACAAGTCGCATTGTACGAATTCATACAAAGTCACCTCTTCGTAAAATAGTTACATTTTTTCATAAGACTTCCTATTTTTTGCTCAAAACAAACTTTATTTGTGAGGCACAACCTCACATGGACAAAAAAAAAACTGATATTTATCCAATTTCCATATACAAAAATGGCCCAGGTCGGAATCGAAAAGACATAAAAGTTTATGCTAATGTTCACTATCGCACCACCAGAGCTGGGTAGATTGCTTACAAAATACAAATTGTAATCCGTTACTGATTCCAAATTACATGACAAAAATTGTAGTTAGTAACGTAATCCATTACATTACACATTTTAGGTAATATAATCAAACTACTTATAGATTACTTTTGACCTATCTAATTTTTTACATTGATTTAAATAGGATAATCTTGTACCATATTGATATAAAAATACAAAGAGTAAGAAAATATATTCCATTTGTTATCAACAACATGAAGTACATTATATTTACATTTAGTAATTTAGCAGACACTTTTATCCAAAGCGACTTGCAAATGAGGACAATAGAAGCAATCAAAATCAACAAAAGAGCAATGATACACAAGTGCTATAACAAGTCTCAGTTAGCTTAATATAATATTATGTCAAAGTTTCCCAAACTGGGGTTCGTAAAGGAACTGCAGGGGGTTTATGAGTTTAATGAAAAGCTAATAATTAATGAAATCATAAAAATGTTAAATTAAAACAAATAATTTTAAAATGAATCATGATAAAACACTTACTGAAAAAATATTTTATTTGTTTACCTGCATGTCATGTGACCATAACCAATGTCAGAGAACCATGAACATGCAAATGTGGTACTTCAGTATAAAATATTTATTTTAAAATCCCAGGTGTACTTCAAATACAAATATATTAGATGAAAGAGGGTCAGATTGAAAATATGGTGAAGTTGTGCATTTTAATGTGTTTGAAAAACAAATGCCTTCCAAAGTAATAGATGGTAAAATAACGGAGTGATAATTCAAATAAAAATGAATGTGTTCGTCAGTAGTGGATGCAATGTTGAAACGCTTCTTAAACCTGAAATGATTTTGTAAATCCAGTGGTCAAATGCTGTGTAGCACCTAATGACTGATCTCTGTGTGAATGTCCACAAAACTGGAAGACTTTCTGAACGTATAGAAGCAGTAGTCTATTGTAGAGAGGAAAATTTAAAGGTGAAAAAGAGGAATTAGGGAGAATCAGTAAATTATGAATAAAGTATTGCTATTGTGTAAATAATATGCAATCCATAAAAATGTAACTGTAGTTTGATTACAAGTATTTTAAAATGTAATTTACTCTAATTGCAAGTACTTAATTTTTGGATTACATGTAATCAGTTATTACCCAGCTCTGTATATATATATATATATATACAGTGGGTACGGAAAGTATTCAGACCCCCTTAAATTTTTCACTCTTTGTTATA